GGGGGTCCTGCCAATCCTTTGTCCTGTGCCGTTGGAGGCCCCGCCGACTACTCTCCTGCCGGGGGTCCTGCCAACCCTTTGTCCTGTGCTGTTGGAGGCCCCGCCGACTACTCTCCTGCCGGGGGTCCTGCCAACCCTTTGTCCTGTGCTGTTGGAGGCCCCGCCGACTACTCTCCTGCCGGGGGTCCTGCCAACCCTTTGTCCTGTCTCGTTGGAGGTCCCGCCGTCTACTCTCCTGCCGGGGGTCCTGCCAATCCTATGTACTGTGCCGTTGGAGGCCCCGCCGACTACTCTCCTGCTGGGGATCCTGCAAATCCCGTGTCCTGGTCCTCTTCCGTGGGGGATCCTGCCGAGGCCTGTCCCACCAGCTCCGACACCGGGTCCTGCCCGGTCTCTGGCACTGTCCCGTCAGCGCCTTCCTGCCCGGCCTCCGGAGATCTCTGGTCTTCGCCCTCGAGCCCGGGCCCCTGAGAGCCGCGGTCTTCGCCCTCGATCCCGGCCCTCTGTGAGCCGCAGTCTTCACCCTTGAGCCCGGCCCCCTGAGAGCCGCGGTCTTCGCCCTCGAGCCCGGCCCCCTGACTCTTCCTGCTGCGGTCCTCGCCCTCGGGCCCGGCCCCCTGACTCTTCCGGCCGCGGTTCTCGCCCTCATGCTCGACCCCCTGACTTTTCCGGCCGCGGTCCTCGCCCTCATGCTCGGCCCCCTGACTTTTCCGGCCGCAGTCCTCGCCCTCATGCTCGGCCCCCTGAGTTTGCCCGCGGTGGCCTTCGCCCCTCCATAACCCCCAGTTTGGACTCTGCCTTGCCCCCGGGCCGTCCGCCCGAGACCCCTTCCTGGTCCTCTGCCGTGACCCTGGGCTGTCAGCCCAAGCCCGTCCTCCAGACCCCCTCCACCCACCCTGGTGGCTTTTGTAAAGTGTTCACCCCCGTTTCCTGCCTGCTGCTTTCTGTCTGTTTTCCCTCCCTGATTACCCGATTGTGTTCACCTGGTGCCTCTGTGGTTTCTCCTCCCTCCTCACCTTTGTCTTGTTTGTGTGATTAGTCTTGTGTGTATTTAAGTTCTGGTTTTTCTGTCTGTCTTTGTCGGTTCATCTTTCGTTGTTGACTGTGTTCACCGGTGAGTGTTCTGTCTGTCCTAGTTCTATATTTCACTATCCTTGAAATAAAGGTATTATCAGTTTATCTGCATTTGGGTCCTGCTTCCTTCGCTCTACCGTGACAGTGGTGTTTGCGCTCAATCTTTGTAAAACCTCACTGCTTTACTTTCCACTCTCACACATCCAATATTTTTTTCAAGATATGGAAATTGCTAAACACACATTGAGATTATGTTTTGTTGCCACTTCCAACATACATTATAAGCACATTTAAAATGGACACCATTTTCTACCTTTTTTTGAGAAGAGAATGAATATTAAAACACATTTAATAGATGTGTTCTATATACAGAAGATATTTATTTATATAAAAGTATATTTCTGTTTAATTATATCTCTGGTTTCTGTCTCTGTGAACCTGCTCTTTAAAGTGTCTACATAAGAGTTTGTTTTTTAATCATAAAATGTTGTTGATAAATAAAATTACCCAACAGCAATCATACAGAAAGAGAAGGAGGATACGAGATCATGGGAGAAAGAGAAGGAAGGAGGAAAAGTTGCTGATACATATTTATTTTGTAATGGTATTAAGAATGATACATGATACATAAATAATACATTTAGTCAAAATTGCTCAATTGTAATACCCTCATTACGGCACTAGACTCAAACAACACATTGCTTATATATATTTCAAAGAGAGAACAAAAAAACATATACAAAGAGTGGTGCACAGCGCAGCTTTTAACATATGTCTAGAAGAACGAGTGAGGTTACTATGGCAACTCCATTGTAGAAGCCCAGATTAAAGGAGCCATTATTCTACTCTTCTACTTTTCATCTTCTATTTTAAATTAATATATTCTTTTATGCTCTGAATACTTTAGACTGCAGTAGACACTGATCCCAAGTGCCCTCTGAGAACATTAATACATGTGTCCAACTTTTTTCTGACTTCCTCCATGAAGCATTAATACAAAAAACATATACAGTCCTCTCCACTGCCATGCATTTGTCCTAGACATATACAACCTTACATTGTCCTCCTGTGTCGCAGAGCTAATTAAAAAAATGTGTAACTTTCAAATCCTTCCTGAGCAGTGTCACATTCAAACTGATTGCAACGCCATTAATAATTCATCTGTAATGGAATAGTTAATGAATCTGTGTGATTGACTCTTTATCGCTTTGCCCAGGCCTGTTTGTCTCACCTCATCTATAGTGCAGAATTGTTGAAACAACCTGGGCTCATCAGCAGGAGGGTATTTACAGTTGCCAAATGCTGACAGATCAACTTATTGCAAAAGCCATTAAATTAGTCCTTTTGATGAAGAGGCATGTGTTATACCATTGAACTAGTTTTAACTGTGTCAATAATTTGTTGAAATAAATTGTCTTATTAAAAGTTACATTTCATCAAAAGTACCTTTGAAATAAGGGTAAGCAAATAAGATGTTGATTTTTTAAGATTGATGCTGGCAAAAAGTAATTGGTTTAGACAAAGCTACAACTTTATTTTTAGGTAGTCATTAGTCAACCTTAAAAGTGAGTTTATAACATACCCCTGAATACCAGTATTATAAGTATAATCCACGAACCACTTGCTCCATAGCCTTTGTTGTATTAGCACCAGACTCAATGAACTGTACAAGACCCAATAACAGCAGTGCTCCTTCAAATGTGGTACAACATGGCCCTCAGCCAATGTAGCCTGCCTTGATATTAATGGGATTTGCAACACACACACGCACGCGCACACACGCACGCACACACATGCACGCACACACACACACACACACACACACACACACACACACACACACACACACACACACACACACACACACACACACACACACTATCTTTACAATAAAAGGCTTATTTTCTGGTCAGTGAAAAACAGTTAGCAGAGCTTCACTGCACTAGCTTACACAATTAGTTGCCCAATGGGTTGAGGGAATAAGTGGGTTTAAATGTGAGGCTAAAAGGCAAGAAACAGAGATATATAAAACACATAGTTAATTGTGTGTGACAGACCACAGCAATTATCAAATCGCTAGCAGCCAGTCAACGCTCCATGTTTCCTCATTTTTTACCCTCAGCATCACTGCAGTTTGACATTATTCTGATGACTAATTTAGTATTGACTAGTGGGAACTTAATCTGCCACTACAGATACTGGCATTCCCCTGTCTTCATGTTGTCTTTGTGCATCAACTCATTTGACTGAGTCAATGTGCCCTTGGGCAGTATTTCCTCAGCCTGAACTGTAGTGTCAACCCATTTCTCTCTCCACCCTGTCTTTCTCAAGCTGTGTCACAATTCTGAGGCTATTCTCATAAACAAGTCCACAAGTCCAGACCACATTATAAAATAACAGAGATGTTTGTTTTGCAGCCGAAAGAATCCAAAAACCTACAAAAGTTAGTCAGCTGTTTAAATAAGATTTCGGACAACTGTTCTTATGTGCATTATATACAAAAGTAAGAAATAACTTTAAATCAATCAGTTCCCTACTTTGGTACCTTTCACCCCCTGTGTCCCACACCTCTCAGGAAGGCAGAGAGAGAGAGAACTATTTGAAGGGTAATGCAATACTGGCCAGAGCAACAAGTTGGGGGTTCACATAGGGGTTGCCTTAGACTTTCTCTTGTCTGTCATTTTGACAAACAGACCCATCAAATGTATGTCTTCTAATGTATTTTACATTTTTAATGATTAATATGCAGAATTATTTTTGTAGATTATGCATTCATATGGTAATTTAAAGCATGCTATATATATACTTAAAAAATATATATATATATTAAAAAAAAACGCCTTGAATTTCAGGGGGCTCCGTTGGCGGGGCTCCGTTGGCGGGGCTCCGTTGGCAGGGCGCAGCGCCCCTCCAAGACAATGGTAGGGGAAACACTGCGATTAGAAGTCATCACAACTCTGAATGTGAAATCTAATTTCCCAATCTTGCAAGCCCTTGCTCACTTCGAAAAGTTACCCAGCATGCACAGCAGCACACGGAGACGAGAGGTGGAGGGGACGAGAGCGGACATGCTTCAAAGCCCTGCTCCGTATTTTTTCAACGTGTTGAGAACTACCCTTAGTTATGTTAGATCATCAAGTGTTTTAAACTGTCAAAATATCCGAAGGCTTTAGATTTTTTTGACAATTACGTAACATCTTTGACCTCTGCTCACACATGCCGCGTCCAAAGACACACAACAGTGACTGTTAGACTGAAAGGCTGGAAGTTGTTCTAAATGGATAACTAAATGTTCTAAATGGAAAACAATATTGAAATAGAGAAGCTTGTACTTATTTTCAACAACATAATGTACTTTTTTGTTATTAAAGGGAGTAAAGTACTGAACAAGGGTATAATTCAATAACATTACAGAATTCCAGGTAACAATACCGGTATCAGTTCAGATGTGGATGGTGACAAACACTACTGTACATATTATTTATATTCAATAACTTGAAATCCTTTTTTTTTTTAACATTGAGTAGAAATATCTTTTTCAGGGTTTCAATAAAAGGAACTTGGTATACACGTGACTATTTCATCTTGTTATCAACTTGGGAAATGTTGTAATGTGCAAAATAATGCATTCATATTGCCAATGATCATATTGTTGACATTGGTATCATAGAACTGGCCCCAATTAACTGTTTTACAACTTCATCCATTCAGCAATTTCTTGCAGATAAAGTTGTTGTTTTCTATGGGTCAGGGAATGAGGGTTGATCCTCTCACAACGTTCTCTATAACTCACATACGGGACATATACCACTAAAGCTCAGGACTCTGCATCACCATATTTTTGTCTCCATCCCTTTTATTTCAAAAGTCCTTTAATACTGAGTAATAGTTTCCTTTTTTTCTTCTTCTTCCTTCCTTGCCAATAGGTGCCATATTTGATGAGTCAGCGCGGAAAGATGATGAAGTGTTTCGCCTTGCTGTGGCAGATCTCAATTTGAACAACGAGATCTTGGAGACGGAGAAGATCACCATCTCTGTGGAGTTCGTTGACGGGAACAACCCCTTCCAGGCTGTGCAAGAAGGTAGGATGATAATACCATGTGTAACAGGGCAGGTGCATCAGCTTCAAAGTCACAGGTCTTTATGTGTTGACATTATAGTCCACAGAGGACATTGATTTGCTTTTGGGTTTAGTTTCCTTTGCCCTACAAAATCTCTGGGCCGGGGTCAGACTGAGATGAAAAAGCTTTCGTCAACATTTATTCTGTTAAACTTTCCAAATTCCACTTTCCACTTTGGTTCTAATGTTATTTAGGCACAGCGCTGTGATTTATTTTCAGCCAAACCCAGCAGTTCCATATCAGAATATCTTCCACTTGTACTTCTTGACGTCATACCTAGTCAAATATTAAAACAAATACTATTAACTCAGAACTTGAATTTCAGCATTTAAGTAGGTTAAAAAATAAAATGGGAATCAGCTCACTGTTCTGACAATCAGGGAATGAGATACAACTGCTGCCCGTATGGACCAGTGTCCCTGCTCAGATAAACATATTGCAATGAGTGCACATTTCTCAAGACCTCTAATTAATACTTCTGGCATTAAAAGAGAATTTACCAATATATAGCCACAGTGAACAAGGACAAGCCTATTTCCTAAACACGCCAACTGCACCATGCACTGCAAAGCTGTAAAATAGATGTGTGTCTTGATAGGACAAGCAGTCTTACTTGTTCAAGTCCAAGTCCAAGAAATATTATATAAAATCTTGAGTTAGAAATTATGAATTTGGGTAAAACTTGCTTATCATATACAGTTTGCAGTATAGTCTCATTGACCAGAGATACATACCATAACCATATCATGTAAAGAGGCAACATAAAAAAGGCCAGAACAACATGGTATATATTTACTGATTTAATTAAATGATAAAAAAAAACATTATCAACCACCCACTGAAAACACACACACACACACACACACGCTCGCACGCACATGCTAAAAAGCTTTTTCAGGCTGTTGCTTTGATATAAGGGCCCTGCACTGTTGTTTCATAGTCAGGCTGTAATTCTTTGAAGTTTAGTTTAGTTTAGTTTATTTATTTATAGTGTCGTGGACATTCCCCATCGATGAACTGTCACAAAAACAGTAAATGTTGCAGCTTTAGCCGACATGGCTAATTTCCAGCTGTTGTCCCCGGCCAGATGGTAATAGACACCCTTAAAATCACAATACATCAACAGCATTAGTTATAAGAAAATATAAAATAAAATAAAAAGGAGGAAAGACAAGTAGATACCGGTGTGAGGTAAAATAGAACAATAAACAACACACGTTACTATATACAGTACATGTCACATATAGCATATCACAATCACATAACAGAAACGAGGGGCAACATCCATGATCACAACATGTAACACAACATGTAACACAACATGTAACACTCATACCATACTCAACACCGACTAGTGTGTGCAGGTGTAATTCTCAGTGAACCATGTTTTTAAGTGAGCTGTGAAGGTGGTATGTGTATGTATGTCTTTGATTTGAGTGGGTAGAGAATTCCAGTTTTGTATTGCTATGACCGAGAATGATGACTGACCAAAAGTACTCTTCCTGAATGGGACTGATAGGTCGCCACATGTGGAGTTTCTAGTGGTCAGTCTGGTGTTGTTACGTTGAGTAACCAATGAGTTAAGAGGTGGAGGGGCTGTATTGTGCAGGATTTTGTAAACCAGAACGATGTTCCTATACTTTATTAAATCTTCCCAACTCAGGATGTTATGCTTGTTGAGGATGGTACAGTGATGGGAGCGGTTAGGTTTCTGGTCCAGTACTTTGAGGGTTTGTTTGTACAGGGTTGCTAGTGGCTTCAGTGTGGAGCTGTTAGTTTGCCCCCAGCTTGTGAGACAGTATGTAAGATGTGACATGATCATGGCATTCATGTATAATTTGGCAGAATTCAATGTCTTTGTGTTTCTTATGTATTTAAAATTTGCTAGGCTAAACTTGACTCTTTGGGTCACTTTTTTGACTTGTGTTTTGAATGTTAAATTAGAGTCAATAATCATTCCAAGGTACTTAACCTGAGGCACAATGTTAATATGATCACCTGAGATGCTTATATTTGACACAATGTTGCATTTTCTTTTTGTGAAAAACATTCCAACTGTTTTGTTGACATTAAGCTGAAGACAGGAGCGGTGTAGCCAGCTAGTGATCAGCACTAAAGCTGAGGTCAGTTTATCAGCAGCCTTTTGCTTTGTGTTGGCATGCACATATATCACAGTGTCATCGGCATATAGCTGTGTTTCCACATCAGGACAGACAGATGGCAGGTCATTAATATATAGGGAAAAAATAAGTGGACCAAGTATTGAACCTTGTGGTACTCCGGTGCTTAAGTCTAGAGCTGGAGAGAGTCGATTATTGACGATAACATGCTGACGCCTACCAGTGAGGTATGATTCAATCCAACTGACTGTTAATGGAGAGCAGTTAAAAGCCGACAGTTTGGACAGAAGGACCTTATGGTTGACTGTATCAAAGGCTTTGCGTAGATCCAGAAATACTGCACCAACAACACCTCCTTTGTCAACCATTGCTTTGACCTTTTCTATAAAAAAGCAGTTGGCTGTTTCGGTTGAATAATTTGCCCTGAAGCCAAACTGCATGGGATGAAGTTGAAATGGACTATTGTTTAAGAAGGAGACAAGCTGTTCTGACACCCATTTCTCAGCCACTTTGGCTACTACAGGTAAGTTGCTAATTGGGCGGTAGTTGTTGATGTTCAGAGGGTCACCTGACTTGAAAATGGGGGTTACAATTGCAGTCTTCCATGCACTTGGGAATGTCCCATGTAATACAGATGAATTGATGATTTGGGTAAGAGGGCAGATTAAGTAATCTTGCAGTGATTTAAGCATTGTAGAATCCATAGCGTATGTATCCTTAGCTGTCGAAGTTTTAAGATAATTAATAATTGCTTTGGTTTTTAATTCCGATATGGGTTGAATGCAAAAGGTCATCTTACTTTCGTCGACTTCGATAATATGTTCTGCTCTCAAAGGAAAGTTCTGTGCAATCTCATCTACAGAGTTAATAAAATATGTATTAAAAGCTATGGCAAGTTGTTCTGGGTCTTGCACTAGGTTACCATTCTCTTTTAGTACTAGCTGCTTTTTTGGCCTGTGCTTGATTCCCAGTAAGGTTTTAATAGTTCCCAAATTATTTTAGTATTACCTTTTGCCTCATTAATTATTGTTATGAAGAAGTTGGCTTTGACCTTTCTGATTGTTTGAGTTACTTTGTTACGTAATGAAGTAATCCTATGCCTGTCAGTAGTTAATTTAGTTTTCAGTGCTCTTTTCAGTGCAACGTCTCTTTCCTTCATCAAGTTCAATATGTCCGTATTGAACCAAGGAAGTGCATTGTTTTTGTTTTTTCCACTTTTCATTTTTCTGGAGAACATCTGCACTAAATCATGTAGCTTGGTCGCAAACATTTGGCTGTCTGTTTCTACACTGCTCCCAGTTAGCATACTTTCCCAGTCAGTCTGTTGCACAGCTTGCTCAAAGTTTGCAAATTCATTTTTTGATATTCTTAGTTCTGTTTTGATATTCTTAATGTTCCAGAGGTTTGTAAGAGTGGTGGAACCGTTTCTTTGTGAGTTTTCTGGATATTAATATTAAGTTGTGGTCAGATAGTCCAGTGATGAAATTAAATGTGTTATTCACTCTTTCAGGTTTATTACTTAATATTAAGTCTATTTGTGTCTGTGAGGATGAGGTTATTCAGGTTGGTCCTTCTGTCAATTGTGTTAAGTCTAAACTATCTGTGATTTGCTTAAGGGCTTTCCTACTTGTCTTGTCTAACCAGTTACAATTCAGGTCACCAAGCAGTATTACTTCTGTTTTGAAATCACATGCTTTAAGAAGTTTTTTGAACGTGGTGTAGAAGTCATTATTTGAGGATGGTGGGCGATAAACAACAATGAGCACAAAGGACATTTCAGGGGACAGCATTATTTTTAATCCAAGACATTCTTGGAGTCGGCATATAAGGCCAGCATATTTGACATAAATCATGACCCCACCCCCTCTTCCGTAAGATCGATCTTGTCTAAAGCTTTGATAGCCTGGCACATGCAATGCAGCGGATGGAGAGTTGGTATGAAGCCATATTTCTGATAGGCAGAGAACATCTAAATTGGAATCATGGACTTGGACTTGATCAGCTTTAGGTGTGAGGCCACAGATGTTCAAATGTCCTCCAAGGATGCCCTTCGGTTTATGTTGTTGATCCCAGATCACTAAAGAGTGATTAACAGTTTTAAATAAATTAAACTTGCGGTTTTTTTTGAAAACATGATTTATGGTCCTGTTGCTTTTGTAAGCATGTTGTTGTTTGTCTAACTAAGCATGTTGTTGTTTGTCTAAGTTCCATTCTGAGTTCTATTATCTGGGTTCTGGCACGCATGGAGGATAAATGTCTGTGTTGGTATTTTCCTTCTATAGTTTGAATTGCTTGATGACAGTGAGTGGCTTATGTCTTGAGTGTCTTATTTATAACACAGCAGGAGGCAGCATTTCAACACTCCCTCCTTGACTGAGCTCTCTGAGCCAGCAGCATGTTCCTGAGTCCTGCATAATGCCTAACCTATTGCTTACATTATTTTGTATTTGAACTTATCCATAGCCAAAATGATTCTGTAGCTTGTCGTTTTAAACTTTCTTTCAGTTAAGTGATCAATTTGGTTCTGGTTATGCATAGTGTTTTTTTGTTCTTCTTTTTAGCAACTTTACATTCATACATATATTGTAGACACAGTTACAACTTGGCACAAACACCACTGTCTAGGACTGTTGACTGCTGATAAGGAGAACAGCAAGGGGATTCAGTATCTTTAGGCAGTACAGGATTTATTAAAGACAGATTAGATGCTACTCAACGATTTAGCTTGTGATTTCGACCAGCTATTGTTCAATCACAATCTGATCTTGCCTCTCATTTTTTTCGCCCCTATCATGACTGATTAAACTCCTGCAGGCCTCACAGTCCCTCAGTCTGTTGCCT